GTGGGCAAAAATTGAATTATGGACGGATTTAAATAAAAATTCGCTTCTTAGAAAAGTTAAGGACGCTAAATTCAAAAATGCAATTTATTTTTGGATAACTTTCACTGTAAATGCAGCTTGAAGTTGCAAATGTGGGTTCTTGTGGCATTTACATAGGTATGCAAATATAGTTCGTTCTATTTTCAAAACTGAGGTGTCAAATGACAAGGCTTGGCCTGTAGATGTGCATTAAAGTTTTATTTTTTGAAACGGGTTACCACCTGTTAAAAATTTTATTAAAGTTATTTAATAAGTTAAATAAATTAGATGGATATCAATTGAAATGGTTTTGAAAATTCGTTACTTTTAAACGACACGTAGAAGGGTCGTCTTGTGTTTAAAAAATCCAAATCACTTTAACTAAGGCAATAAGGTAACTGAAGTATGTATATAAATATGGGTATCCCACAAATGAAAAAATTGGACATATTAAGCAAGAAATAAGTGAAGAGTAAAAGCATTCCTGAGTTAATTTAAGAGACCAGAATTTTAAAACGAAGAACAAATCACCTGATTAATACTATATTACGATGTCGTAAACCTTTGGTTTGACAAAATTATTATTTTATTTTAACTAAATTCGACTTTACAAACAGGTGGAAACCCTCTTCTTTATATTTGCAAGCTAAAACCTTCTTAAACCTATTTCGTTTGACTCCCGTATGGTGATATATATCTATTTATATAACCTAATTCCTTTAATTCCAATGGAATTTGATTTTTTAACAGGTGGCAACCTTCAACATATGGTTAAGAAATAAACCCTTTTCATACACATTTCGATTGATACCCATCTCTTAATAATTCATTTAACTAACAGGTGAGAACTCTTTAAAAAAAATAAACATCTATTGGCTACAGGTCAAGCTTTTTAATCTGACACTTCATTTTTGAAAATATAATGAATCGTGCAGATCTGATGACACTGACCAAAAATGAAAAAATTATTTAATGCATTACTTCAAAAAGTGCAAAAAATTAGCAGGTTTTTATTTCTTTTTTCGAAAGTCAAAAACCCGTGCTGTACGTAAAATAATAAAAATAAAACGATTTTTTACATATATTTTTTATTCATTGCATTAAAATTTAACATTTTTTGAAACTAAAGAAACTTGTTTATCTGGAACCGCAGGGACACTCTGTGTTTAATTTTTAATAATGTAGCTCTCTACTATCCCTTTGAAAATAAAAAACGTCAAACCAACATTTTATTTCAAAGAATGTGTTTTTGACATTTGTTTCCGTGAAGAGCTTACGCATGGCTATGCTGTTATTAACATTCTCACATACAATTTGTCGAGTTTAGTGGGTTCCTGGCGGCATATAAACATTTTTATAGATAAATTTTTGTTTAAGAAAAGAATGGAATGTGGACCAATGCAGGGAAAGCGTGACACAAGCTGGGTGATAGCACTTCCTCGGAGTTCCTACCCTACCAGTAACTAGTTTAAATATCGATGTTCAACCAGTTTCTCACCCCCTACAGCTAGTTGAAGACTGGCTTTCTTCCTCGAAACGAACTGTGGAATTTAACATGGCGATGTCCTAGGTATCAGCCAATTATCCGACTCTGCATATGATTTCAACTACTTTAAAATGCATTTTTCTTAGAGCACTTTAAAGTCAATCTTTTTATTACACTTTCGTTGTGCACTTCACAGACGCTTTATCATAATTAAGAAAAACTGAAATAAAAAATTTTAAATTGATTATTCCGCCTAATAAGATTTGAACATGGACATTCATGGCCGCGACCAATTGTAGCAAACATCTTTTCACGCTGACCACAAGTAGTGTTGCGGGGAACACCTTTCCGCAAAAATACTGCGGCCAGCGTAGCTGTCGTTGGACTTGCGAGGGCTATATTTTGACGAAAAAATTTCATCGACGTCGACAACCATAATAATTATTATTATTTTTTAAATTTGAACCAAAAAAATTAACAAGTTGTAATCGGCGCGATGGGCAAAGAGAGCTTTTACTCTGCACTCGCCTATAAAAATGTATAGAAATTTTAAAATAGCTTTTCCCACGTGCAAGTTGGTGCCCATCACCAATTTACATATGTACATATCGAACCCTAAATTGAAAAAAAACTAAACGAATTTTTTTTCATAATTTTTGTCGTGATGCAGGTATGATAGAAAATGAAATTTGAAAAAAAAATCGTTTCGTTTTTTTTGGCGGTTATGGCTCAATATGAATGTATGTATATGTACATGTATTTAATGACGCCGACCGTCAAACAAAAGTGGTGAAAATTCCAATTTCATCCGTCGACTATAAACAACACACGAAATTGTGCTATAAAAATGCTATAAAAATGAGCTACACCATTACTTATTTTAAAAGCGACCGCCAAAATTTACTGCACCATTCAATGTTTATTACGTTTCTTCTGAAAGCTAATTCATAAGTGAGGATTCATGTTATTTAAAAACGTGATTGACTGAACTGAAGCGAACTTTCAAACGGGCGAATTTTTCAAAAACTTTGTTTTATCACTTTTTAAACTTTCCCGCGAAGT